TTTAAGTTGGCTGACTGTGTGAGTGGAAACAGCCTGCTGATGGAACAGAGTTAACAGTGACCAGGGAACCTCACATTCTGATCCTGGGTCTCACATTCTGATCCTTCCCTTGTATAAGGCTCTTTTGTTTGGGCCAGATGAGCCATGTACAGAATGGAGCCCCACAATGAGATGGGTTTGAATCTGGGTAGGCAAAAAGGTTAAGGCAGAGTTAGGTCATGGACTTCCATGTGTGGAAAGCCTCAGTGCCCCGTCTGTTACAGGTTGTTTATGCCTCTTCTTGGTCTCAGGTTTGGGCTATGGGTGTAGAGGACTTCATTGGTCTCCTTCCCATCCCCATTTGGTCTGACAACCCTCCCTGAACTATCTCCAGGCTCCAGGGAACTCAGACAGAGCTGGGCCAAGATAGCATCCTTGTTCTTGTCCTCTTTAGAATTTATGCAGACTGCGAGGGGATCTGCACTGGGCTGTGGAGATAGTACCAAAAACATTACCATGATTCGGAAAAGACAGTGTTCAGAGTTTTTCTGTGCTACTTAAATGTCAAGATTTCTTTCACAGCTGGGCACCGGTGGCTCGCGCTTGTAATCCTAGCTACTCAGGTGGCTGATATCTGAGGATCTCGGTTCAAAGCCAGCCCAGGCAGGAAAGTCCGTGAGACTCCTATCTCCAATAAACCACCAGAAAACCAGAAGTGGTGCTGTGGCTCAAGCAGTAGAGTGCTTGCCTTGAGCTGAAGAGCTGAGGGACAGTGCCCAAGCCCAGAGTTAAAGCCCCATGACCACCACCACCAACAACAACAAAAGAAAAAGAAAAAAGATTTCTTTCACCAGAGGAGATCCAATGACATTCTGGAAACTAGTTGTGAAATTTGAATCTGCTCCCCAAATGTCTGTACTTATCTCTGGGTGGAGGGGAGGACGGTTTTAACAGAGCCCCTGGTGAGCGGAAGAGCACTAGGGTAGTGATTCTAGCCAGCACTGATTCCTGGTTTTGCTTAGGCCAATGGCCTTGGGCAGCCAATTCAGTGCTTGTATCTCTATCTCTAATTGGAAAAATGTAGATAATACTATTCTTACTAGACTGCTGAATGGATAATAAATCAATAATAATAGTTAAAATAATAGTTAAATAATGAAAGGAACAACAGTAAGACTTAGAATTGTCCTATGCATGTCACATGGACTGTCTGATTTATTAATAGAAAGGTTGTATATGGATGGTATTAGTGTTACAATCATTTTTTTTTCAGGCAAAAATATAAGGCTTGGAGTGGTCAAATAATTTACTCAGGGCCACACAGCTGCTGGCAGCAGAGCTGGGATTTGAACCCATTTCCTAGTACTTTTGATGTCAGGCATTATGTTAGATGTACAACCTATTTTCAAGGATTTTATAATTAAGTTTGAAGACTAGGTATGTAGATTTATTTATTTTTTTTAGAAGGGATAAGAGAAAGAAAGCCATAGTTTTTTCATCTGAATAAAGCTGCATGTAAGTTGAAGTCATTACTTTGCTTCTTCTGGAGGGCAGAAAGTTCTGATATTTCTCCTTATCCATCTTTAAAGGTTGAAGCCAACACTTCCATAGGGGAAAAAAAGATTAACAGGAGAGAACACAGTAGATTTATTTATGAATTTATTTATTTTTATTGGTCGGTCATGGGGCTTGAACTCTGGGCCTGGGCGCTGTCCCTGAGCTATTCAGCTCAAGGCTAGTGCTCTATCACTTGAGCTACAACACCACTTCCAGTTTTCTGATGGTTTATTGGAGATAAGAGTTTCACAAATTTTTCTGGGCAGGCTGGCTTTGAACCGTAATCCTTTTACCTCAGCCTCCTGGGTAGATAGGATTACAAGCGTGAGGCACCAGCGCCCAGCTCACAGTAGGTTTATTTATTTAAAGTTTTGGATAATGAAGAAGCCTTCTGAAATGCAGAACCAGAGTTCTATAGAAAATGTCTATCTTTATGCCTAGATACAAAGAAGAATGAACAGCTATGCAGAAATGTGACTGGACAAAAATAAACTGAGGAGGAAAGCCAGTGGGGCCTATCTCTTTAGATATTTTTTTTTCCCTTCTGAAATGGAAGTCTTGTTATCTACTCACTATTAGAAAAGATAGAATTTCTTTATGGCTAGCAATTACACTGAAATACAACTTAAGGGTTACATTTCTCTTTTATATAATCTGCTTTAGGGAAGTAGTATTCTGGTTTCTATGATCACCAGGGAATGAAGGATAGAAGACCAGGAGAGTAGAAGAAAATCAGGAGACTTTGTTTCTGAGGCTCTTCCAATGTCCTTCAATTCAATGTATTTAGCATGTGGAGATACCATAGTTGAGTTATTTTTTTTCTGAGCCCCAACACTAGTTAGTATTATTATTACTAACATATGTGTTAGGTGATAAGGTATTTTAGATATGTAAAGATACACATGCTTTATATCTAATTGTATGTGTCTGTATGTGTCCTTGAATTTATTCACATGGTATCATTGGAAGAGTTTCCTTTCTCCTCTTCCCATTGACCACACTGAATCTTCTAACCCTGTAATTATTCAGTGACCTGTTTCTCAATGTCTGAACTCAGGCCAGTCCCCAGAACAGCCCCTCTACTCTCATGAAGCAGGAGCAGGCCCAGGTTAAGCTCACCATGGAGGGAGTAGAAACCTGGGCTGGAAGGATTAAGATAATTTTTGTAATGATGACCTGGGAGGGAGCCCCAAGGAGAGAAGGAGTGAGGGCAAAAGAGTGAGGCCCAAGGACAAAAACGGGAGCCAAGAGACACCAAGAGTAAGGGAGAAATAGAAGGAGAGGCAGAGAGGTGGTCCCTTTTAGTTAGTGAAGAAGGAGGAAGCTGAAGGTAGGGGATGATGGGACAAGGAGGAGAGAAGGCAAGACAGGGCTGAGGTAGAGAAGGTCCAGAGTCCTAGGATTGAAGGCAGATTCACTGCCCGAGGCTTCTTCACTGTGCATTCCTCCAGGCTGATAATGCTAGTGCCTCGGTTTCTTGGTCCTTATCCTTTTGCCTACTAGCCATGAATCACCAGCCTCATTAATTTATCAGCACACTTTCCTCTGTTGTCTTTCCTCGCTGACCTCCAATCTAGGCCCATACTCCTCACACATTGTCTACTGTGCAGCTTTTGGACCTCTCGTCTCACCTTTGGCCTCACCCCAGATGGTATGTTCTGCCCATGCCACCCAAGAATGGAATAAATTCTTACTTTCATCTCATTTCTTCAAGCTCAAAATCTATCAATGGCTCCATACTGTCAGCAGGGTGAAACTCAAACTCTTGGACATACCATCTGGGGCTCATCAAATGTGGCCTTCCTCATTTCTTTTCCTCCTTCTTACCCACATCTTACACTCTGATCCCATCTGGCACCACACTCCTCCCCCTCATCTCCTCTGCCAATCATTATCGGCCCCTGTCTGTTTGGGGGGCTGGTTTGACGGAGCATGTTTCTTCATTAACACCTGCACCTGTCAGACTGCACTAAGACTTCAAAAGGGTTGTTCCTGCCTCTCCCCCTCAGCTTTCCTTGACCACCCATGGAAAGGCTTTGCCCATACAGTCTGTGAGCCCTATAGGCACATGATGACCAGCTTCTCAAAGGCCTCAATATACATGCTCTGTGTGTGCACAGGGCTTCAAACACACACACACACATACACACACACACACACACACACACACACACACACACAAATACAGTACTGCACAATCGACACCCACTTGCTAAATTAGGGATGAAATTCCTGGGATTTTCCTTTTTCTCTAAGTACTGGGAGAGCACATTCTGGGCTTGGTGCTCAGTAAGTAAAGGGCTCAGCACAGCGGCTGGTAGCAAGCACAGTTGCTATCAGTGTGAGATGGGTAAGGCCCTGAGCTTGCCTGGGCTCATTCCCACCATTGGAGAGTCTGGTTTTCCCAGGCACCATTCCTGCTGTACCTACTCCTGTATCCCCACCCAAGCCCAAGTACTGGCACATGGAAGATTACAGTGTGTGCTTAATGGAAACAAGATGAAAGAACAATCATTGGTATCCCATCCCTCTCTCCCGTCAACCTTGTGTCCCTTTCCTCTTTTCACATGCTCTGGTTCTATGACCAAAACCAAAGCTGATCTGCTAGCGGAGAAGTTTTTCTACCATACCACCAGATTCCTGACCTGCTTCCAGGGAGTAGCACAACTCCCCCACACTAAGCTGTGTGTGGACACACTGTCAGTCACCCAATTTCCCAAGAACCGGAGGAGCCAATGCCTAAACTAGGACAACTCTGCTCCCCGGAATTAGGATTTTGCATATAAAATCTCAGATTTTACATCTAACGCTATTTGTTACAGATAATTGATTAAATCTAACAAGGCTAGGATGGCTTTCACCTGTGAGGAGGATACATTTTTAACACAATCAGGATCATACACATTCAAATCATTAAGGTTCCAAAGAAGGACCAGTACTCGGAGGCCTCCAGCTGCTCCCGTTCCCAGCCTTTAGGTCTGTAACTATTAGATTCTCTATTTCATGCAACAGGGGCCAAAGTGTTCCTCTGGATAGAACTCTCAGAGACTGTTTTCTTTTCTCCCTCTGGTCCCCACCGCTTCACTAGTCTTCAGCCCTACAGTGAATGTGAACGCTGAAAATAAGAGGCTTTTATACCCTTGTTGTATTAACCACTTATCAAATGTCTGGAAACCCAAATGAAAAGCTCCCTGGTTCTAGGACATTGACTTCCTGCCGGAAGGAGGGCCTCACACTTACCAGGGAGGAGGCAAAAAGCAAGTTCCTTGGTATAAAGGACAAAGGGGGAGCCAATTCAAAAATGGTTTCCCTCACACATCAACAAGGCAAGCTATATGAAGGGAGATGGTGGCAGCAAGGTGGATTTTGTTTAATAAATATTTTTTCTGTCCAGGTTAATTGCCCAAGAGCAAGTACTTATATTATGTTGCCAAAGCCTCAATTTAGGACATCTCCAATCCTACCTTTCTCTCCTTGTCACCATATTCCACGCCCAAAGTGTCCATAGCCCGGACAATGGCTGCCAGAGACTGGATGGTGTTGCTGTAGACAACAGGCTTGTACTGCTTCACGTCTTCTCCAGAGAAGCCATCTTCATGGATGATCCTGGAGAAAAACCACACATACCACACATGATGAGTGACTTGTTTTCATTCTACACAAGAGTCCCAGGCATGGGAAGCCCGGGCCACCTCCTAGTTTAGCTAGGTTCTGTAGGACTGATGATTACTGGGGTGCTTCAGTATGCCGTAAAAGCTAAAGGTAAAAAAGTACTCGAATTACTGGAAAAGTCATCTGAAAAGCAAAATGTTGGAAGAAAATCAAGTGTACTTTTTTCAGATTCTTTATACAAAGTGAAAGAGATGAGGGGCTGGTTAACTTGAAAGCACTTAGGATAGGATGGGCAAAAAAATGAAAATGATCAGTACATTTTGGTCCTTGGTATTTTAAGCAATGCTCAGTATATAAACTGAGGCACATAACCTCAGTGGCATATTGCTGAACATTCTGGTAAGAAATTTGCAAATGAGTAATATATTTCTTCCTCCCTCCCCACCCCTCGTCCTAGGACTTGAACTCAGGGCCTGAGTGCTATCCCTGAGAGCCTCTTTGTGCTCAAGGCTAGCACTCTACCACTTGAGCTGCAGTGCCATTTCTGATGTTTTCTGAATAGTATATTGGAGATAAGAGTCTCACAGACTTTTCTGCTGGCTGGCTTCTAACTGTGATCCTCAGATCTCAGCCTCCCGACTAGTTAGGATTACATTATATAAGCCACTAATGCCCAGCTTACACTTCTTTTTGACCGACAACTTTTAGTGCCTTTTCTTTTTAGTGCTGAGGATTGAACCCAGGTCCTTGTGCATGTGAGGCAAGGGCTTTATTATAAAGCCACATCCCCTGCCTGCTCACCGTGCTTTAATAAAGGTAGGACAACTCACTTTAAATGAGTAACCACAGTCATCAACAATTGAAAAATCAGCCATCAGCAGAAGGTCTTTCCCTACTTTTCTGTCCTCAGCTGAGATTCACCACCGAGCCCATTGTTCAGCTGGATCGCAAGAGTTACACAAAGCCCACAGAGGAGACATCGCATATCAGAGGCCATGTCCATGGTGGCCACTTAATGCTTACTGAAATTAGAAAGGGGAAATAATGTCCAAACATTGTAAGAATACTGTTATAATTAAGTAAAGGAGAAAGATAAATGTTTTAAGAGTTTTAGGTGTATCCTATAACTAGTTTTTTAAAAGAGTTTTAATGAGTTTTAAGACACTATTTGTCCTTCAATAAATTGTGTGAACTGTTCTTTGGTCATACTATTCAAAACAAGTTTCAATGTCACACATAATGTGTACATATCAATGTACTGGCTGAGCCCCTGTGTGGCTCACCACAGTCTCATTCACTCCTTCATTATCCTTAGTGCAGGAGAACACCACCAGTAATCTTTTTAAAACACAGTTTCATCAATACAATTAATATACCATACAATCCACCCACTTAAACCAGTCAACTGGCTGTTCTTAGTGCATTAAAAAGTCATTACAATCTTATTTTAGAACAGAGTTGTCCCTCTTCCCCCAAAATGGAATTCTGTACCTATGAGCAATCACCTAACCCTGCACTCTAGCCCTAAGGAACTACCAATCTACATTGTTCCTATTTATTTGTCCTATCATATATGTGTTTCTGACTGTTTCTTTAACTTAACATATTGTTTTCAAGATCTGTCCATGTTGTGGCATGTTTTAGTGGCTTGCTCCTTTTTATCACTGATAATATTTTGTTCAAATATGTCACTTTTTATTTATCCAGTTATCAGTTGATGGGCATTAATAAACCAGTTGCAAAATTGGACTTGATGCTTGGCTCATGGGTCTTTACTCTGAGTTTCTCTAAGAATAGCTCCAAATGACCCTAAAGACTTTTTGTTGACGTTTGATTAGCCCTAGGTCTCTTTTTACAGAAGTCTCTTGAAGGAGTCCATAGCCAGTCCAACTCATAGCACATTACACCGGAGAGGTCTCACAGGGAATTACTAGCTCCCACTACATAAGGCCAGAAATCTGGATAGAGTACAGGAAACAAACTTTTCCAGACGCTGGATAATAGTCAGTACAGAGCTATGGTCCTGGGAGGAGGTGACCATTTTGGTGCTGACTAGACCACAGTGCAGGCAGAGAGAAGCCCCAGCAAAGCAGCACTGTGCACTGAGCCGCAGAAACAGAGTTAAGTGCTCAGAGGGCTGAGGTTGCTGGAATAGAGAAAAAAACTGGAGAGAAAGAGCTCTAAGCATCTTCATGGGACACCTATGGGTTTTGACTGGACAGGGTAGACCCCCACAAATTGGGTATAACAACCTACCCATAAAGAAAGGAGCTCCAGTGGGTTTTCAGACTACTTCTTTCCAGGATTCCACCAAGGCTGGGAGATGTGCAAGTTCTCCTCAGCTAGAGTGCCCACAGGGGATTCTGGGGCCTCCAGCAGAGATTCAACAGGAGCAGTGCTGAACTGAAGTAGCCCGAAAAGCTTCCTGAAGCCAACTCTGACAACACTACAAAAGCAAGGCTGGTGGGGAACAGCCAAGCTGGCTCACAAGCAACGTCCAGAGGAGAATGAAATCCAGCCAGTCAATGATATGATATTCATAATACCATCTTCCAATAAAAAGATCCCTGGATATGCATAGGAGCAGGAAAGTGTATACAATAACTAGGAGAAAACTAATTAATAGAAGTGACAGAGATGACAGAATTAACAAAAAAGGATGTACAAATATTTTACACATTTTCTAAAAAATGAAAAGAAGCTATTAATGTAAATAAGAGAGAAATGGAAGATTTCAAAAGACAAGAATATAAGAGCTGAAGTAGAAAATTCATTGGATGGGATTATCAGCCCATCACACATAAAATGGGTGAACCTGAAGGCATGCCAGTAAAAAAACTGTCAACTGGAGATAAAGAAAGGAAAAAGCCAGGAGCCAGTGGCTCATGTCTGTAATCTTAGCTACTTAAGAGGCTGAAATCTGATGATCACAGTTTGAAGCTAACCCAGGAATGTCCATGAGACTCTTATCTCTAATTAACCACCAGAAAACTAGAAGTTGTACCATGGTTCAAAGTGGTAGAACACTAGCCTTGAGTGAAAGAGTCATGGACAGTGCCCAAGCCCTGAGTTCAAGCCCCACAACTGAACAAAGAACAAAACAAAACAAAAACAAAAAGAAAGAAGAGAGGCTGATCATGTATAATGTTCATGTCATTTTTAAGACTTAGAGAAGAACAGCACAAAGGATAGCAGGGAAGCATATAACAGAAAGACTCATATGTGAAAAAGAATTAGTATGTGACTTAGAAGTATGTGTGGTAAGGCAAGACACATGATGTGAACTCCAAAGCAAAAACAATAGTAATGAAAGCAAAGCAACTGTCCTCAGGACGCCAGAAGCAGATTTTCCTCAGCGGTGAAGATAGTGTGATATGCTGCCTGAGAAGTCAGGGAAATTCCCAGAACTTTGTTTTGGACACTGGGGTCCTGCTACCCTTCTGAGAATGCTCTCTCAACTCTAGGTTGCTTGTGGGATTACCTTCTACTTGGGGTCAGGACTACCATTTTCTGTACCTATTAGTCGAGGTAGGAAGGGTGGGGGTATTTTTTTTCCAATGCCTATTTGGCAGAAAAGTTAATAGGCTAAGGGATTCAGTAATTTTCTCAATGTCTTTCAGCAGAGAAGAAATCCCTGAGTCAGGATCAGAACCCAGGTTTCCAAGTTCATGGTCCATTTCTATCATACTTCCATCTATGCCCTGGTCTAGGCAGAATATCCCCTGGTAGGTGTCAGCTGGTATATAGAGTGACCCAAAAGAAACAAGCTTTGACATTCTACACATTATTTAAGATTTGTAACAATGATGCATGGGAGTGGAGGGGGGCTTCTCCAAATCATGATTATTAGTTCTATAACTTGCTCAGACTGATTATATTAGCTTCAAATTCAGTCTGCTGTCTCAAGGTAGAATTTTATATCCTTGCATCACATTACAAAGTAAGAAATACTCAATACAAGGAAAAATACCATTGGTAGTCCCACAAAGCAAAGACAATGCACTTTATAGTATAAGACATAAGACCTCCCATGGCATTTGTTTCATTTCTCTCTTCCTTTCCCCAGTCTCCCTCAGCAGATATGTTTTTTCCATCATGATTCTAGAGAGGCAAAAAGAGCAGTGGTTGAGGTTTAGGCAATGTCCAGGCCAGGGTCAATGGTGGTTCTGTCACTTATGAGCTGTGTATGTGACTCAACCTCTCAGGTATTGTTTTCCTCATTTGCAGGTTGTAAGCTGTATATAGTGAGGGTATAACCAGAGGAAGCTACTAGGAATAACACTCGCGTTCTAAAGTCAAAGTCCTCCAAATATAATTTCCTCCATTTCCGGTACAAAAGCAGACATTTGCTGAGGCGTTACTCTGTGCTAAATGTTTTATATGCTATACCTGTTACATGTCATCTAATTTCCAAAGCAATACTAGGGAATAAAAATGACAAAAATGATCATATCTTCTTTACAGATGAGGAAGGTGAGGCTGAGAGGGGTCACACAGTTGATAACTGGTAGAGCAGCATGTGAGGCCTGCTTGTGACTTGTGGGCAAATGTTGAAAGGCAGGGCTGCTTCTCTCTACCTGGTCTTCTGCATTCAGGCCTCAGAGGTTCCTGAGACTGCACATACAGCTTGAGAAGATACTGTATGCTATTGCATCTTTCTGAAGTCTAGAGGATTGGGCAAGGAAAGGAGGCTTCAGGATTGGGGTTAGAGGTGAAACCCAGGGGAATTCTGTTGCATGGGTTGGCCCAGTTCTGACACCTGGAGGTGGCAAGGTCAAGAGTGGAGCTCAAAACAATGGCTTCTCACACTGTAGTAGCCCAGAGAGAACTGCTGAGTGACAGAACACAGAATCAAGGCCCAGAGACATAGGAGCTGGATATAACCTGGATATCACCATGCTTGAAGCTATAGCCATCACTACACTTTGAGTACTATAGGTTCCAGTATCTCCCTTTTATTTTTGCATAACCTAATATGATTTAGGTTTTTGTCA